GATCATTAAAGCTGCTCTAAACACACACACACACACGCAGATACCTATATATATATATAAATATGTGTGTGTGTGTGTGTGTGTGTGTGTCTCTGCTCCTCCAGAATGCGCTCTCAGTGGTCTTGCACTCCTCCAGTATTGCTCCAGCACACGCGGGTCTGACCAGTCTCCTCCACAGGGGTTTCAGTTGTTGTTGTTGTTGTTGTTGTTGTTGTTGTTTTTATATCTCATGTTCAGTGCCGTTCGCATTTAAAGGTGTTTGTGCACATCTGGGGACCCGCAGTGGGTTAGTCACATATCAACACTGAGGTGTGGAGCGTCAGCCGGAGCGCTCCTGCACACACACACACACACACACACACACACACACACAGTGCAGATGAGGTTCACCTCAGCTCCTCCTCCATCGCCATGTATGAACCAATCGGTCACCCTCACGCTCGGGGCCGCTCTCATCATCCTCTAATATCTTGCCAAAATCTCCTGTTCTGGGCGTTCAAATACACACACACACACACACACACACATGTATATCTCTATATTCCCTCCTCTGCATTGACCCGAGCGACAGAATCTGTGAAGCAGTGCGCAAAAGAAAACAAGGCAGCTACTATAAGAGTGACTACTGTAAATGTCTAATCAAATAAAGACAATGAGTTCCTTTTTAACTGCTCGACTCTTATTTGCTCCGTGTACACACACACACACACACACACACACACACACACACACACACACACAAACTGATCTCCTGTTAGTGACTGATGCAGTTCCTCTGTGCTGGTTTATGTCTGCATCATGAGGCCGGCTTGGCTCGGCTCGGCTCTGCAGTGCGGGTTACTGCTGAGGGCCGTGTGCCGGTGTGAGTCCTGCAGTGGTGTCCTCTGTTCCTGTAGTGTTCAGGTGTTTCCGCTTCCTGTTTCACTGCTTCATTTTGATGTGGAGTGTCCTCTGCTGGAGTGTGTGAGCTGCGCTTCACCATCTGCTGCCCTGAACACCGGATCAGCTGCAGTAATGCTGAGGTGCGTCATTAATGCATCAGTCAACACTGATGTGTGTGTGTGTGTGTAGAGATGTATAGTTCGGATTGAAACGTCACACCATGGAGATATTGGAAACAAAACACTCATGACTGATGATTTTATTCTGCATTTGGGTTAGTCAGACTGTCAGAGAGATGTGCAAATGAACATGAGTAAAGGAGTGTTGGTGTGGTGAACAGCTCAGCTCTGCGGCTCCTCATCGGTGCCTCCACACTGCAGGTCTGGAGGTGCCGTGACTCTTCCTCCTCCGCCTCTTCAAGCTCTGCAGTGTGAAAGTGAGACCCGTCCTCCAGTCCTGCTCATAATGCTGCTGCTCATGGAGGATCTGCTGCTGAGACGTCTTTCACACATCTATTGTGGACATTTCAGTAACCGGTGAGTAAGAGTGTGTGTGAATGTGTTTGTGTGTGTGTTCAGTGTCAGTGCGGGCTCCAGAGTGAGTTCCTCTTTCTGTTATAGTCCTGCACTGCAGTGCTGTGTGTGTCCAGCAGGGGTCAGTCCGCAGCGCTGCACAGCACCATTGGCACCTCTTTATCCGCGGTGCCGAACAGCGGCAGCATCTTCTCGGACAGCGGCCCGCTGAAGCAGTACAGCTCTGCGCCGCTCTTGGCATTGTAGAAGATCACCTGGCCCTCCTCACAGTCCAGGTACACCCCGACCCGCCGCAGGTGACCTGCCACCTTCACCTTGGACAGAGATGGGGCGGTGAGCGCGCGCAGGTGGTTCCCGCTCCACCAGAGGGCATAGTAGCCAGCAGCCGGCGTCATGTCAAACAGACCCTTCCTCTGCGCCGACTCGCAGACCACGCCCAGCTTCCAGTCCCGATTCTCCCCGACACTGACCTGGAGGACAGAGACACACACTGACCATCACTGACCCAAAACCTGACCATCCTTGACCCAAACCTGAACATCACTGACCCACACCTGACCATCACTGACCCACACCTGACCCATTACTGACCCACACCTGACCATCACTGACCCACACCTGACCATCACTGACCCACACCTGACCATCACTGACCCACACCTGACCATCACTGACCCACACTGCCCCCTGCTGTACCTCCCAGTAGTGTCGGCCGGTCTGGAAGCTCTCCTTGGCCAGGACGCAGGACCAGACGTCGTAGCGCTGTGTGTTGTTCCTGTAGAACTGCAGCTTCTCTCCACGCTTCAGCTGCTTCCGGTCCTCTGACAGGATGAGGAACGGGTACGCAGTGACCGGGTTCAGGCTCACGTCCTCTACACACACACACACACACACACACACACCTCAGCAGACGCTTTACTACCATCCATGCGATATCAGTAAGGATACTCACCCAGATAACCTTTGACCTTCTTGTGTCCTGAAAGAGAGATATAACAGATCAGTCAGAACCGGCCAATCACAGAGGAGCGCTGACCCTGACACCCCGAGCTCATCAACACTGACGCTGATTATTATTCAGATCATTAATGAGAACAAATACAGACGGACACTGACCATTAACAACACACACACACACACACACACACACACACACACACACACACACACACTGACCTGTCTTTATCCTGCGCAGATCTGTGGGCAACAAGAGAGAAAGCATTAATACTCCTACAGGTGCTGCAGGTGTGTGTGTGTGTGTGTGTGTGTGTGTGTGTACCTTTAAGTGACCAGTCCTTCCTCCTCATGGATCTTACACTCATCATGCTCTCACTCTCTGCTAATGTCGACACTGTTAGAGAAAACACACACACACACACACACACACACACATGGATGAGTGGCTCTTCTACACACACACACACACACACAGATGAGTGACCCTCTCACACACACGGACCGGAGTGTCTGTACTGCACTTCTCCACTGCGGATGTCCTCCAGCCGGTCCCGGATCTCCCCCAGCGCCGCCTTCACGTCCCCCAGAGAGAAGCGCAGTGTGAGCTCCGCCTCCTGCTCCGCCTCCTGCCCCGCCTCATCCTGCATGGGGCCGCTGGCTGCCTGGAAGCTCTGTGTGCAGATGGAGAGCAGCGAGAGTAAAGATGAGAGCGGGCGGTGATGTATACTTCTGCATCAAGCGCACGTGCGCGTGTGTGTGTGTGTGTGTGTGTGTGTGTGTGTGTGGTCACATAGCCCTCGCTACGGCTGATGCCAGCGCTGACGTGCACCTCTCGAAGAATTAGACAACACGTCACGACGCGTAGCGCAGGCTCTGAGCACGGGTAGCTGTGACAGGTGAGCCGGATGGAGCTAGTGGTGAATGGGGCGGCGTGTCACCTGAAGGAAGCCGATGTGGTCGTCTGAGATGGCCTGAGCCTCCAGTCGAGCCCTGTGCTCCTGCAGCTGCGCCAGCTTGGACTCCTGCTGCGACACCATTCGCTGGCCTCGGCCAATCACAGCCTCTCTCTTGTCCTGGATGCCGCCCACCAGCTCGGAGCGGATTCGCTGGATGGAGGAGCTCATGTCTGACAGCAGCTGCTCCACCTCGGCCTGCTCCGCCTGGCTGTATCTCTACACACACACACACACACACACACACACACACATGGGGTCATCCGCATGTACTGTACACACACTGGGGTTTGAGAGTCTCTGCTGTTTATAAGCGCTAATAAGCAGGTTTACCTGTACAGTGAGGAGTTTAGTCTTCAGTTCCGCCAGCTGAGCAGATCTCCTGTCCACACACACCTGCAGCTCCAACTCCATCTTACCCAGCAGCCTCTGCGGCAGACCATAACCCAGTCAGAGGAGCGGTGTGTGGTGTGTTCTGCGTGTTCTGTTGTGCGTGGTGTGTGTGTGTGTTGTGTGTGTTGTGTGTGTGTGTTTGTGTGTGTTGTTTGTGTGTGTGTGTGTGTGTGTGTGTGTGTGTTCTGTTGTGTGTGTGTGTGTGTTGTGTGTGTGTGTGTGTGTGTGTCTGTGTGCGTGTTCTGTTGTGTGTGTGTGTTGTGTGTGCGTGTGTTGTGTGTGTGTGTGTGTGCGTGTTCTGTTGTGTGTGTGTGTGTGTGTGTTGTGTGTGCGTGTGTTGTGTGTGTGTGTGTGTGTGTGTGTGTGTTCTGTTGTCTGTGTGTGTGTGTGTGTGTGTGTGTTGTGTGTGCGTGTGTTGTGTGTGTGTGTGTGTGTGTGTGTTGTGTGTGCGTGTGTTGTGTGTGTGTGTGTTCTGTTGTGTGCGTGTGTGTGTTGTGTGTACCTGTTTGAGAGCGCGCTCGGTCTGCACAGAGACAGTGGTGTGTGTGCGGTGCTCCTCCAGAACACAGATGGCGCAGATGCAGCGCTGGTCGGTCCGGCAGAACACCTCCAGCAGGCGGCCGTGCTCGCGGCAGGTGCGTCCCCGCAGGGCGTCGTGCGGCGGCAGCAGGCGGTGTGTGCTGTAGAAGGGGGTGTGCAGGTGCGGCTGCAGGTGTGTGTCGCAGTAGGAGGCGGTGCAGGTGAGGCAGGAGCGCAGCGCAGGCTTCTTCACGCCGCTGCAGACGTCACAGAACACCGGCTCCAGCTTTGGTTCCGCTTCTGCGCTCGGGTTCTCCTGCCGGGCCTGCGCAGCCTCCCCGTAGCGCATCTGCTGGTATTTGAGTGCGATCTGGGCAAACACTCGGTTGATGCTGAGCTCCGGCCGCTCCTCGAACTCCCGCTTGCACAGCGGGCAGGAGCAGACGGCGCTGGAGGCCCAGTAGCCCCCGATGCAGCCCTGGCAGAAGTTGTGTCCGCAGGGCGTGGAGACGGGCTCGCTGAACAGGTCCAGACAGATGGAGCAGGTCAGCTCCTGCTCCGAGAACAGCTCCGCGTCCATCACTGCGGGACAAACAGCAGAGAGACGGGTCAGCACACACACACACACACACACACACACACACACACACACACACACACTACAGACAGTACAGCAGACGGAGGAGCGCTCAGCACAGCTCAGCTCCAGCAGAGGAACCACTACTGCATCAGTCACTGCGGGTCGGCCCCGTCTGCAGAACTCAACATCTGAAGCGGATCCGAAAGGTTTTCAGAATTGTCCTATGATCAGAACAGATGCTGTTGGGTAGTTTAAGGACAGCTGTGGTGAAGGTTTGGTCCGCTTCAGGTGCTGAGTGCTGCAGTTCAGTGTAACGCAGAGGTCCAGCACCAGACCGGCTCAGCTGAACTGATCTGCGGGTTCAGGACCTGCTGCAGTGTTGGTTCTGTCTGATGCCGCTGGGCTCAGACCTGGCGTCAGCTGCAGGAGCAGCAGCGTGTGTGTCTGTTAATGAAGAGCTGGTGGAGTATCTGAACTCACGTCAGTGTGTGTGTGTGTGTGTGTGTCTCCAGCAGGCGTGTAATAATCAGCATGAAGCATATGCAGCCGGTGGTTAATGCTGAATAACCCTCAGTCCTCCACCGCAGCTGCTGATGGTTTACTCTGGGTCTAGATGTGCTGTATCCCTCCGCCGGTGCGCTGCGCTGTGATCCGGTCTCTCAGCAGGGCGTGCCGCTCACAGAAACATGATGATGATGATTGAGATGTTGAGTATCTCAGAGTAAAGGCCACGCGCACAAACACCCGGGAAAAATGCTGAGAGTCCGGTTTAGCCGCTCCAGCTTCTCCTCTGAGGTTGTGCAATGAGCGCTCCGTCACACGGCTTCATCTGCGTATGAGGATGTCCACGTCCAGCAGTGTGTGTGTGTGTGTGTGTGTGTGTGTGTGTGTGTGTGTGTGTGTGTGTGTGTGTCGTTCTGCTTTATTTTTATGATGAACATTAGTGACAGGGAACACATGAAGCATGCACGTGTGCTGATACTGTGTGACCTGAATATACATGAGGCGTATTCACTGAACATCTAGCGACACCAGCGAGAAGAAAAACACAAGACATGAAGGAAAAGCCAAAAC